TCCGTATCAGCTGGCTGTCTTTGTCCGGATCCCTCCAGCTGCCTTCGCAGTGACTCACGCTCCATCTCAGCATCAGTGGCAGCACATTCTGCCCGACGCAACTCATCGCGTAGTCGTTCGGCTAGCTCCTGGACACCTTTTTGAGTTTCCAACTGTTGCCTCATCTCTTCCACTTCCAAGAGCAATCGACCGTTCCGGCTCTTTGCACGGTGGATCATCTGCTGCACCTCACTTTCACGCCTCTGGGCTGCTCCGAGCTGGCTCGTCAAATGCCCGTTCTCCTCTTTCAGGGCCTCTACCTGGGATTTCAAGGCAGACATCTCCGGCCTCAACACCGCAAGCTCCCAAGCAGCGGAATTGGAGCGGTCCAGAAAAGACTGGGCGATGCTCTCCAGAGTCCAGTCCTTCAGCTCCTTCTGGTGCCGCCGCAGGAGGCCGAGCTGTTCCTGGCAGTCACAACAAAAAAACGCCTCGGCGGACCTGTGACTGCAGCTGTGCACTGTGATTTCTATGCTCGATTTCGATTGCCGGACCCCATTTTGCTGCCACGATTCCGTGACTGTGTCCAGCACAGGCGGGTGGATGGCCAGTTGCCGACGCAGACGCTGTGTGGCCTCCTCGAAATCTGCATCTCAAACAGACGAAATGGACAAGCCCTTTCGAAAGATGCAATACATCCTCTGCTTGGGCGATCCGTGTCTCCATGAAATCCCAGGGGGACTCCTGCATGCGAATTGCAAACCGAAAGGTGCAGAAAGAACACCCAGAACATGGAAGGAGCTAAGCGACTTTTCTTCCAAACCCTGCATCCTTCTCTCTCTGACGAGGCTGCGAAGTCTGCATGGTTTCCAGGGAGGCTGCGACCATGAGCCCTGCTTTGCAAGAATTTCGCTCAGGCTGGTGTGCAAACTCAACCACCTGGGCTAGACATTTTTGCCGTGGGACTGAGTGATCGGTATCTGCGAAGGCAATGTCTAAAATGAAAGTTGAAGTCTAGCATACGAGAGTGGCCACGAAAGCCAGCTGAAGCCCAAAGGAGCCACGACGAAGTCAATGAAAGCAACCCTTCGCATGCATGACAGCTGGCCTGCAGTGTTTCGCAGTCCAGACAGATCCAGAAGCCCGATGTTAGGCACTGCACAACGCATCAGGAACACGAAATCCAGAGGGTTCTTGCCTGCTTGGCTCTGATGACGGTCATTTTGCAGCGGTGCCCGAGACGGAAGCGGAGGCGTGAGGCGTGATCCACAGCCAAACAGCGGGTTGCACTGCAGTGCACTCGTCGGGTCAGTCCATGCTGTCCAGAACGACCTGGCTAAGATGCGCGTGCGAGAGATGGCAGCAGAACTCCATGTTGCGGCCTCGGAAAGTGTCGATATGAGCTTCTGCGAGAGCTGCTGGCAGCGTGGCAGCATCAGTTCGCCCTCCCAGCGCAGCGAAGCTTTCTTTTCCAGAAACCCGGGACAGTCCTCAGTTCAGTACAACTTTAATGAAGTCTGCTGGGAAGCAAGAACGAGGAGCCACATCGGAAGCCATTTCAGTGCAATGGACAGCGTTTACCAAGGAGCACAATCTGTCAAACTACAGGTAGTACGGAAGTCCCTCAGAACAACTAATTGTCCTCTGTACCAAGCAGCTTCCTGGTGCTTTCTCCAGTCAGCCTTTTGACAACTGGAACTGCAGTACGATCTCTGCTTGCAGAGGCCGCATCTAAACGATGCCAGTTTGCCACAGATCCTGGGGCCGTGAGGCAAAGCAGAGCAGACAAAGCGCTGGGCGGCCGCTGCTTTCCTGATGATTGTGCCTTGAAGCCAAGATGCTGGCAAAGGCCATGGGAAGGATCCAGGCGCGGGAAAATGGAGACGAACGCCATGGGATTCTTCTCATCGTTCCAGTTGCTTTCTCTGAACTGTATGTCAATGCCTGCACAGTGCAATGTGTCCACAAGCTGTGCCTGGACTTCGGAAATGCACTCGCGTCGCGCCTAAGGTCTCATAGCTGATGCCAACGGCTCTAAAACGTCCCCCACCGTACTTGTCTGAAGGCTCCCCCAGCATCAGGACCACCTGAGCACCAGAAGCCCTGGACTCCTAGACCAGCCTACTGTGCAGACCACATCTGTGCCCGAATGCAATTGAGCCGAAGCCACGTCCTTGCTATGGTGACTCCACTGCAGGCCCTCCGGCAGCGGGCCCGCTCTGTACTGAGCAAAGCCTTCGCCTTCGTTGTACCTTGAAGTTGCGTAGGCTATCAAGCTTGTTGAATTAGACTTCAAAGCTTCCGCGGCAAGAGGCGTGGGAAAGCACATCCGATGTCATTCCTCAATCTGCTTTGGCTAGTGAAATATGAAAGGCAAATCCTCGAAGATCGGCCATGTTCGTTGTCAAGGCTTGATCTTGCAGTCTGTCTCGTAAGAACCAGAGGACGGAAGTGATTGTCCGCATCTCTCTGTCCCTATTCTTCTTCGTCTTGGGGGTGGCAGCCTTCCTTCTCTCAAATTACCAGGACCATGTGCTGGGTTCGTACAGGTGTGATGCACGGAGCTTGCCAGGCCCGTGTTTCCTTGTTGTGGGGAACATCTCGATCGAACAACAAGTTGCTTGGACAGCTCGGACTGGATCAGGTGTGACACGATCCCTTGTTCAACACCCTCCTCTCCCACTTGCAACAACAGCTTCCTGGCAGTTCTTTGCTAGCAGCGACAATGAAAACGCTTCAAAGACTGCGTAGGACTTTGCTTGCGGAATCCCGTCTGCCCTCAAGCTCGGTCACGCCGTAGCGAGACATCGTGCGGACACAAAACACTCACGACAATTCCCTTGACGTCGCTGGAAATGCTGGAAATCAAATGTTGGATGGATACGGTCTGGCTGGCTTTCTGTCAGCATACCTCAGCAAGTGCTCCCAAGGTGCAGAAACACCACATCCGCCCGCGCCTCTCGCGGATCTGCTGGTGTGAAACGGACCTGGACACCCAAAGCCTGGCAGAGGACAACTAATGAAAAGATGGATCAAATGATCAAAAAATCGAAGCACGGCCCCACCTTCGCCGTCAAGTAGGCGCAGTCGTGGAACGACTTGAACTCCAGCTCCTTGGCATTGCCACTGGAACGATGTGTCAACTCTCACCGTCACCGATTCGAGGAATACGGGCAGCTCAATTTTTCGACTCTTCGACTCGAAGCCCATTCGAAGCCCGCAGCGCTGCTCTGCACTGCTCCTCACGACCTGGGAGCCAAGGTGCCACAGGCCGCAGCGAGGCACCACTAGAGGCACCGCACAGGTCCCCGAGCACCGTCCGGCAGGCGTCCTTTCACTGGACAGCACCAAAAAACACCCAGCAACTAAGCTGCAAGTCTCTAAAAACGACTGTTAAATAAAGCCCTGGCCTGGTCCAAGCCCAGCAGCTCGGAGGCCTCGAAGTCGGTAGGGGCCATGGCTGCAACGATTCTCTGGAGCTCGGGATAGCTTTGCTAATCTTGCCACTACGGCCTTTGGCACTGCCTTGTTTCATGTTCGAGACTTCCTTGCGAAAGATTGATCGGCTCCCTGCATTGACCTCAATACTCACATATGCATCTGGATGGGTTCGATGCCCAATGTGTGTGGAACTAGAGCAGGATGAAGAGCATTGCAAAAAGGCCATGATCGCAGCCGGCACTGCCTATTACGAACAACCGTGTCATCAAAGGCCGACATACGAGGTGTAAGGGTCGGTCTTGATATGTCTTAAGGGAATTGCGAGGTCGAACCGAGAACTCCGAACAGCCCCGTGAAGAACTCGACCCTTTTTGATGCTTGCATGTGAGCGCGATCCTCATCTCCGCCTTTGGCTGGGATCTCAGGCATCCTGCATCGAAATCTCGGATGCATGACCTCGACGAGTCACACGCAAAGCTAGCAGCACAGGAGATCGCAGAGCAAGAAGATGTTGGGAGCAAAAGTATCCCACCCAAACCCTGACAGTCTAGTTCGAAATAGTTTGCTATCCCTGCATGACATCCTCTGAGGTGCTGGTGCTGTCGCCAGCGCACGTCCTGACAAACTGCAGCTGTTGCCAACAATGTGTCTATGAATCGGTTCGAAACCTGCAATGCGAATCGGCATCGTCCCTAACCGTGACAGAAACGACTATGGACGATAGGTTGATGAGCGAAGCTGTCATCCCTATTCACTGGCCTGTCCGCAGCTGCAAGCAACTCCGACTCTTTGGCGACCAGCGGCATCAGGCTGCCTCTGCTGTGAGAGCTTGCGAGGGTCCCGCAAGTCCCTCCTGACCCACTTTTGAAAGCTTCTAGCGCTCCACCGTGACTACCCCTGCCCCGAACAGCTCTCAGTAGGTCAGTAGGCCCACCCCACCACGCCACACGCCGTCACATCCGCACAAGTGTATGACGGTGGGACTTGGGAAGATCCGGAATCATTCAAAAGCTTCCAAACTCGTCGACTTCCAAATCTCAAAAGCCACAACACCTTCACACGAGAGTGGAGTGAACCGTGTGATCAGCCCACGTACAACTTCACGCAAAGACGAGCAGAGCCGAGCCACACATCATCGGCAGAGCTAGAGACTGCATGCAGCCCGTGATGGCGAAGGTGATGCCGTAGCCGAAGTGATCGATCAGGGCACCGCCTATGCCAGGCGCTCGTGATTGTTTCCGGTGCGTTTTGATTGGAAAGGCTTACGAACGCGGCTCGATTGATCGAAAAAGCTTTGCCGAGTAAGAAATGGTTACACTGGGACACCAGAGATTTGCCGTGTCACGGAATATGGTTGGGTTTTGTTCGGATCAGAATGCCGATCATCTTCAGTCCAGGAACTCAGGTTGAAGCCACATGCTGCTGCAACAATACTCGTGCTGAAACAACAGCAACAACATTCAAAACGAACAGGATTGGCTCCTTGCAGGCACGGAATTCTCCGGCCTACAGCGGCACTGCCAGACCAGCCTCAGCGGCTTGTGTCAGACGATCACGACGCGAGCCGCTTTGCTCACACGACCAAGTCCCGCAAAGCTACGGGGGAGCCAGGCGCAGCCGTTCGCTGGGCCCAGCAAAGCTCTGGTCAAGCTCTCTGCTTCCATCGGTACATTCACTCCGCAGCCAAGAAGCCCATTGCCGTGATGGAGCCCAGGGCTTTCCAACGCCCCCTCTGCGCCTTCGGGGTGTAGTCGGCCTCTCGCGGCACGCCGGGCACGCCGCGGCGGAATGAGCAGAAGTTCATGACCCTGAAACTGCAGCCAGGTCTCGATGATGGATCCGAGGAGGGGGGTCGCGCCCCACATCGAAGCGCAGCGAAGAAGAAAAACCGGCAGCATGACCTGAACCAATAACTCCAGCGCTAAATCAATAAGGTGATCTATTGAATTCGCGTTGCTTTCACAAGAGCACGATGAGGATGTTACTGGTACCAATTTAACACTAACAGAGCACCCCCATCTGGCCAGTTCCGGTGTCCCTCTGGCCTGCCTGCCTTCCCTACATGGACACAACCAGTCTCTAAGCTAGCCAAGCTGCTCCAGGCACGGTGTAGTAGGGTCTCAGTAAACCGAGCAAAATTGTGCAAATAATGCCCACAGCGTAGCCTGAGTTGAGCCCGGGCTTCAACAAGGGCAAGCACGATGCGCACGGGAGTCAGGCACGAAAGGAGACTGAGCCGCCGAGAAGCATGGGATGATGACTTGGAGGCGGCCTGCACACTTGGAGATGCGGGTGGAGATCAGCGTCGCGACGACCGTCAAAGCCGAAAGGGAAGCGAAAACCGCTTGAAGGAGGGCTGGATTTATGTGACCCTCCTGCTTGAAGAAGACGGGGAAGAACTTCACTGTCATTCCCGCCCCCAAAAAAAGGATGACTTCGTTTAGGAAAAGGACCAGTCGAACACGGCCCACGGTGATCAAGCCGAAGCATGACGTCTTCTGGTTGCGCTCGACGAGCTCTCGAGCTCCGCCCGAATCTCCCACGAGACGCTCCTGAAGATGCACGGCCTCACTGCACTCCGCAAGCGCACGTCGGTCGTCCATGAAGAAGCAAGGGAAAATGGCCATTTGGCCTAAGACGCATCAGGCTAAGATGATGTCACTCAGATGCAACGCTGCAGGCAGTGCCGTCAAGACACATATCAGGACACCAAGAGCGATAACGAACTTCATGGAGCTTAGTGACCACGTGTTGCCTGCGTAGAGGAAGACCACCAACCCGACGAGCGGGCCGACTGACGAGGCAGCTCCATACACCACAGCATTCATGGTCTCCACCTCGCAGCCAAAGTCTGGCTGCTGCAAGACTGTGAAGAGGCCAGACAAGATCCCTCAAGCTGAGGCAAACATTTTCATCCCAAGCCACGTCTGAGCGGCGTCCAGCAGGACACGAGTCGTCCATCAAGGCCACCAGTGGTCCGTTCATGATACCATCACAGATGCCTGACGAGTTGAGACGCAATCGAGCCCCGCTTACTCGCAGTCAGCCACTCATGACCCCAGAAAGCCACTAGTAGCCACTAGTAGCTGCCTTGCAGACCCAGAGCTGCACAGAGGATCGCAAAGGCAGTTGAATTGTCGGCCGTCGCCAAGAGAACAGCCAGCAACAAGCATGCGCCAGAGAGGAGGGAGAGACTGGCGCCAATCCTGGTTGCAGGCCAAAGGCTAACATCGACGTCAAGCTATGTCAAGCTGCGGCGTGTGGGCCCGGGTCACACACTGGTTCTCTGGGTCTGGTCCTGCTGTCCTGATGCATGCCCGTCTCGACCACTTATCGGCAATGTATCCGACCGGTAAGGCGAAGATCAGGTTGGTGAGGCCTGGGACCACGGGCAGCCCGGCAGGTCGGTACATGATCAAATGCCAAACGCATCGCTAAATCTGGGGATGCCTTGCAAGCCCTCTGCAAAGCCAACGTCAAAGTTGCTCCCGCCGACCAGCAAAATGAAGGAAGGCAGCACCGTCATCTGGAAAAGCCCCGCTCCTGTACAGTAGAAGCCTCGAGCAAGGGCGCGGTTCTTCGGTGTTGCAATACAACCGACTTGCATGAAGATACAGCGCATAGCAGGTGGCTTGGACAAGCGGAAAACTTCTTACTTCCTGGACAGACTATACATCGTGAGAACGAAGATCCACAAGTGGTTGAAGCACTTGTCGCCTGTTGCGCAAAGGCCACACAGGACGTTGTAGGTCCATGGACTGTTGGTGTCGGTCATGGCAGCAGCCATCGCGACGGCGTGGCACAGGATACAATCCACTTGATTTCTTGCACACTATATAACCCTATGAGGCTATTTGAGAGTACAGGGATGAGGTTACTGGCATGAGCGGCCTGCGCTCGCGAGGGTTCTACGGCAGTGCGCATTTTCATCTAAAACAACCTTCTTTCCACAGTGCCCGCGCTGTCCGTGTCCATAAAATCTAAGACTTTGACTGACGTCGACGCTTCTGAACTTGACGAATCAAGCTTGCTATAGTCCCGTGCTCATTCTAACTTTCAAGTCGATCGGAGCCACACCATTCGGCTCCTCGGGCCTCGTTGGTGTGGTCTCGAAGTCCCGCCGCTAAGGGGTCTGGGAGTTTTTTGAATTTCCAAAGTGGCAATCGCCCTCCCGCCACAGTGCCATGCGATAGTTCGTGTTGTGCGTCGTCATTGCAGACAGTCCCGTGCATTTCCGCGCACCTGCTGAAATCGTGCTCTTGCAAATTTCTGGTGCAACGGTGCAACTACTAGCGATTCCGCCTCGTAAAGCCGTCTTCCCGCCAGGGTCCCGTGCATGTGCTCCCTCCTGACGTTATGCTCTTGCTGCATGTTCTGGAGTCCGGATCGTGCTTCCGCGGCGTACATTTGGGAATCATGGGTTTGTCTTGGCATGGGGAGCCCCAGCGGCGATCCTGAAATGGTGATGAGTACGGACTTCTAGGTGCTCTTTTGCTGCTTCAGCTCTGCACTGACATGAACATGCGGAAGTGCTGGCTGGTTATTCTCATCCTGTTTCAGAACAAAACTGCAGTGCAACCATGTCACCGAGGGAAACATGTGGTGATTCTCATGCTAGCCCGATCTAGTTCTGGCTTCCACTGATCTTTGCAGTGGCTGAGGAAATCGAGCGGCATGCGCTGTCATTGATTTTGATACGCGGCACCATTATAGAAATTGACACCTGCTACCATCTCTCACTTTCTCCCCATCCTGCAGAGTCATTGCACCTGCTGCCGCCAGAAAGCACCACCAGCGCTTGTTGACTTTCGTGTTCTGCACCGGCATTGCAGTTGCTACAAGCTGGTAGATGCAGGAGGCAGCTATGAAATTCTCCAGCCAGTTTGCTGCTCGCAAACTTGGGAGCGCGGCCATGAGAACTTGAATTAGACAAAGGGGATCGGGCGGCTGTCTCACACTCTGCTCAAGCAATACAAGCATCACAAGCAACAAGCTGAAGATAGTGGAGACCAGCTCTCGGCTAGAAGCCGCCTGAAACTCTCGCAGCTCGAGACAGCATCAAGCTTCGGGTGCCCCTTGTGGGACTTGCGGAGAAGCCCCTGGGATCTGCAGCTCTTGAAGCTTCAGTCTGGACTGCGCCACCTCGGTTGCAAATGCCCGCAGATCTACAGCACGAACCCGGCCCTTGCTCCAGAACCGGCAATGAGCCCATGTAGCTTTCCGTCGTTGCTGTTGAGTTAGATTGTCCCCAGGATTTTGCCAAGCTTCTGGGGCTTTGCCCTGCGACGTCTGCGCCGTGTGACGAGGAATTGCTCGGCCCCTGCCTGCTCAGGAACCACAGCCTGAATAAACTTCTCAGCCTCCGCATGCCTCCTCGGTTCCCGCCTGTGGTCACCGTCTCGGCCTTCCTGCGTTCTGTCTTGGCTCCCATGCTTTGCCCGGAGGGCCGGTCCTGGCAGAAGGCAAAAGGCACATCTGCAGTGTCCAGGCGCGTCCCCGCTCACGTGTGGGGAGTCCTCGGCTGAAGGCTGCGAGGGCTTGCGGGCTGCAGAGCACTTGGAAGGAGTCGGCGTGTACCTCGGAGCAACCGAAGTAGCGAAACTAAAGCTGCACAGACCTGACGAGACGAGGCGAGATTCTTCGGATGGCCCTTGGCTGCATCTTCTCCAATCGCCTCGCCACTGCTGGGCTGGCCTTGACACTGGGAAAAGCAGCCGAGAATGCTGAGTTAGCAGTGTAAGCTCAAGCAAGTGAAATTCAAGCTCATAGAGTTCCGCCCCCAGGCCCTGGCTGTCTGCTTTGATCTTTTCCCGCAGAAGCCGCGTCGCGTGCACGTGCAGCTGTTGCAACAAAGTCGGAGGAGCTGCCTGCACCTGGTCTGACATCTCAGGGAGATGCATTTCAAGGAAAACCACAAAGCAGTTTCCCATCCATTGCGCAATTCGCCGCACGTTACCGGTCTGATTGCACTGAGATGCAGCTGCTCCCGCTTCGACTGCTTCTGCCCCTGCAGATACATCCTTGCAGGCTCTGCCACAAATGCGAAACCAGTTCTCAGATGTGAGCACTCAAGGTCCGCAGAAGGTCTTTCTCAAACATGTGCGGGGTTTGGGAACAAAGCACATGTCACGTGCTCCTCCGGAGTGCAGGCCAGCTTGGTCACACGCACAGATTCAGGGCTCGGACGAGGCCTGGCAAAAGCAGGAGGAATGCTGCAATCTCCAGGCTCAGCTTAGCTCTTGCCCTCCTCGCGCAAGGCCTCAACAGCCGAGTTCCAGGTGGCGGGGTCGCACCTCCCGCTGAGCGAGACAAATCCCACAGCAGTACGCAATTATCTTGACACTTTGCGGCCAGCATTGTGAAGACATGACCGCCCCACAAGGACATAGAAGAAGCTGCGCTCAAATGTTTTGAGTTCAGACGCTTTCGAATTCGTGTTCCCTGGTTACAAGTCTTTCATGTTGTCCAGCATACTTTGAGTCTAGTTAGAAATTGCCAGGCGCCGATTTTCTGGTGAGTTTCCGCATCTCCTAAAGCGGCAGGACGGCCCTGTGAAAGGATCCTGTGCCCGGAACCAGCATAGCCAGCAAACTAGACCCCGTTTAAATGCGGGATGTACTCTTGTAGGGGTCTGATGGCTCCTGGGATCCTCTCACCAGGCGTCCCGGCATTGGCCGCCCCAAAGGCACAGACACACACGCACACACACACACACACACACACATCCTTCGTCTGTTTGTCGCAACTCCGTTGCAGTGCCTGACATCATTGCCCACATTAGGGCAAACTGGCCAGACAGCCGGCAGGGGCCGGACTTGATACAGTCATCGCCCGGGACTACGCGCTCAATGATGTGCAGAAACATCAGAAGCTCCTGGTCAGAGTTGCATCCACCGAAGATTTGAGACTGAGGCGATGCATGCCTTCAGCTCAAAGTTCGGCGTTGACCGCCCCATCAGAGCTCGTCGTCTAGTTCATAGGGCTCGTCACAAGCCTTGGAGAACACCAACTGGTCAATGTTGGATTGCACATTTCGGGCTACAGATCGCATTTAGGACAAGTGTTGCAAAGTCATGACCGTGAGAGGTCGTGACGAGCTAGCAATGGATGTGGACTTGCAACCGACCAAAGAAGCCGTTGGAACTTGCAAAACACGAAAAGCTACACATCAACCAAACGTTGGACTCGGGACCGCCTCCCCACATCTGCACTCCCAAATTCTAGCAGGATTGAAGGCTCCACAGCCCACCTCATCTTGAGCATCGTAGTTATGGGGCTCGTCCAACGCAAGAGGACTCTAGTCTTGAAGCCACCCCATCTCCTAAGCTCTTGGCCCACACAATGATGTCCGAACCATCACCTATCAGGAGTCGCACAGCAGACGTCGGTGACACGCTTCAGTTTCAATGCGTCTTGCGAGGCGATCTGATGCTCTGGCTACCAGGATCCTGCCTATTCGGCCCTGCCGGATGGACATGCAGTAGTCCTTATTGGCCTGCGCATCAGCAATGCTGCTACAAAGCAAACCGATGTAGGGAATACGAAAATTGTAATTATGGTATGACTGAGAGATGTATGCACAGCTTGCGGCTCAGCTTTATGACATGTTGCTGACTGTGCCGGCGACGTTCAGATGATGAATCGCTGTCTATGTTTAGTTGCAACAGCAGCCCCACAGGATCGCACAACTAGATGGGACCACTGATACTCAACACGACTCATGTTTCCGGCGATGCACGTGCAGCCAAATCGAGGAGAAACCTCACTCGCAAGCTGCTGTACCGCTTCCAGTCATCTACATCTATAAACAGATATATATATATATATACATATATATACATGCTGATCAGCCATGAAAAGTAAGGAGAAGTTATCATCCATGAAAAGTGTGCGTTTTGACGGTATTTACACTGAAAAAGAAGCCGAGGTAGGTCATGGGGGGGTGTGTCCATGTATACATACATACATACCATACCATACCATACCATACCATACCATACATTACATTACATTACATTAC